CCGGGCAAACAATGTTTTCCTATTGCTGTTGTTTTTGTATACTTTTTTTTATACATACATATGTACATTTGTTAGCCTTAACCCGTTGCAACTAACAAGTTTCTTGTTAAGACAACGGCTCTAATAAAGCAACAACAAGCAAATGCGACAGCGACGGCGACGGCAACGGCTCACAGCGCATGCGCAGCCAGCTGCGTTGTGTTACATACCCTATAGAGGAGACTTGAGAGGAGTAGATTAGCTGGGTAGAAAGTAATACATGTAAAAATTATTGTAGTTGAATTTATATAGAGCTACAGCTTTGAAGTATTTTATATGCTTAGTCAAAAAACAATTGATTAATGCACTAAGCATAATATGAGTTATAATATTTTATAAAATAAAAATATTACAATTATATATATATATATACATAGTTAAGCAAAATTGAAAATAGGTAATTATAACATATACATAGAAAATATTATATTCTTAAATATATAATATCACATTTTTAATATACATATATATGTATGGATTTACTAAAAAAAAAATTAAAATAATATGAAAATTAAATTTATTGCGTATAACTTTTAAATTTGTATATATATATATATATATTTTGTTTAATTATATAATATGATTAATTAATTTTTTTTTTCATTTTTATTCAATTATATTTTATATATTATTTTTATTTATTTAATAAATTAATTTTATTTTTAAAATACAATTTTAATTTTTTCATTTTTATTCAATTATATTTTATATATTATTTTTATTTATTTTATAAATTAATTTTATTTTTAAAATACAATTTTAATTTATTTTATAAATATATTTTATTTTAATATATTTTATTATTTTTCTCAATTATATTCATCTCATTTAGCTGCTGACTTCCTTCTGTAATACAATTTCTTCTCATTTACTGTTCTTTTCATTTATGCAGGGCATCTGCTAGCACAGCTCACTCTGATTAACTCTGGTTTCGGTTGGATGGCTGGTCACTCTAAGCGTTCCCATAAGTTACCTCGCCCTTCGCTTTTTCTGTTTTTTGTTTGCCCAAAGTGCGTCGCTGTTGTTTGCTGACTGTATTTTAGTCAGTTTTAGCCGGCTCGGCTTGGCTTGACTGGCTTTGCCATGCATTATTTGCATTTATGCTTTGTCGAATGCAACGGTAGTTGCAGTGTTTTACCTAATTACACATCGCTCCCCAAATCTGTCTAATTGTTTAAGTGCTTTTTAGCATTCGACTAAACAATTTCCATACGCGCAGCGCAAACAAACATATTTCCAGTTATTGTTTAGATGTGATTACCTCTGCCGCTGCCTGCTCACCTGAATGCCGTCAAATGTTGTTAAAATTTATTGCCAAGCAATTCTCACACATCGACGCAAATTGAGAGGCCCCTTCAGAGTGGCGTTGCCTCAGCTGCTATTAAGTGTAACGTGAGAGTAAAAAAAAAAAAATAATAAAATAAAAAGAAGCAGCACATAAACTTTCTGTACACCTGCTGCAACTATTTCTGGCCTTAGATGTAGATCAAGTACAGCTGGAAGAGTTGGTTTAGTATGTGAAGTTTCTTTTCTATAATTAGTTATGGCCGCCCATGTGGCATGTGGCAAGAGGCAAGAGGCAACCTGCTGTCGCCATCAAAACATAATTGCTGCAAGCCTTTTTACCAATCTGTTGCGGCATACTTTTTCGATATTTGGAAATCAGAAACTTTCTAAAAATTATAAATAATTATCTCATATTGTTGCTATTCCAGCTGTCAAACTGAATTAAAGCGCTCACATTTTAAATCTTAATTGACATTTTACATTTACAATCTGCTATTTATTTTTAAAATTTTGTACAGAATATATATTCTGTATAGCAAATATAAATAAAACAGAAACTTGTATATTTTACATATATCATATTTTTCTTGCTTATTTTTTTTTGTTTCCACATTTTCAATAAAAGTTTTCATTCTGAATATTTTACATTTATCTCTTAAATTATTTAAATTCATTTAATTTTCTTTCACTTCCGCATAAATTCGCTTTGGGAAAGAACTTTTTCATGCTATATTTGAGTTATTTATGTTAACTATATTGTGTGCATTTTCATAATATTTTACAACTCGAATATGTTTACTTTGAAATGTATTTCTTTCATATCAATATTTACTCTTTGCCTTCCCTTAGCCCCCGTTAATCACAGGAACTACTTTAGTTCTTGATAAATAAGTGCAATATTTTTTTTTTTAATTTGTAGCTTGTTAGTTTTTTTTTTTTTTGCTGTCTGATGAAATAATCCAACCGATTTACAGAACATAGATTTACGTTTTTTATTGCATGAATAATTCCGCAATATTCCATAAAGAGATTGTAGAGATTGTAGTTTTATTTGCAGCTTTTAGCTACTTTTTGACATATTTATTGCATTTATTGCCGATTCACAATATTTTTTCGACTGTTTGCACTAAGAGAGCTGACATTGATGTCAGATGCAAATCAACAACGAAATTCGTATATGGAAAATGAAAATAATTATGGGTTACAGTGCCTGCCAAATGTTGATTTACTGCAAACAGTTGTCAATATGCAAGAGTGCACAATCTATCTCTCACTCTCTCTCTCTCTCACACCCATCCTCTCTCTGTTTCTGAAAATAAGCCGTACAGATTTTTCATATGTGTAGACATAGGCAAACAGTATTTTGCATACTTTTACGAGAATTTCGAGATGGCAAAAATATGCAAGTTATGCAACCGGCAAATGCCAGCAAAACCCCGAAAAACCCCCAGCGCTTCTAACTCGTTCAGCATGTTGGCACAAAGTTATGGCCATTTATAGTTGATTTTCTTGTTGTCACAGTTGTTGTGCGTGTGCGAGTGTGTGTGTTTGTAAATAGTTGAACAGTCTGCATATTTCCTTATGTATGTATATACATATACAGAGATATCTGTGCTCTGTGCCATAACTCAAAAATGCATCGCAATGCTGCACTGAGAGCAATAGACAAGCATGTCCCAAGTATCAAATGACACTATAAATAACAATTCGCTGCGTGGTTTTTGGGGCATGTGTTGAGTTGCATTTGTGCGGTGTGGAAAGAAAAGGTTTCTACCGCTGCAACACTTCAATTGCAGCGGGAGTGTAATGAGTGTCCTTAATGGGATATGCTTCCATGAGGTACGACCATATCGGTTTCAAGAGCAACGTTTTCGCCTTAAGTGTTAGATTTGAGTAAACCAGAGCAATTGATGTCCACTTGACATTTGACAGTGCCCAAGTTGATTTTCTAATGAAATCTCTTTTGCGCCTACGTGTTTTGGCGGCTTAATTATGCCAAGTGCCGAGTGCCCGACTTGGCCGCAATATTTCACTTGGCTGAGGCAAAAGTCTAAAGTACGTCAAATCATTCTGGCCGCAAAACTCGAAGCATTTCGTGTGTGTTGATGTTGCTGGGCTGCCAGGCCTCAACTGTGCGTCGGGCTGCAGCTGCAACAGAGTCCAGAGTCGGCCGAGCCTCTTCTCAGAGAGCTGGCCTCAGATAAATTGTGAGTGAATTGGCTTTGAGTGAGTTTTGCTTGAAAACCTGTTTTGCTCTCGGTCTGACGCTCTCTCGCTCGCTTCGGCAGCTGCTTTATCTGAGCACTCACCACTTGGCATGCTTACTCTCTCGCGCTCTCGCATTCACTCTGCCTCTCTCCCTCTACGCCTGGCGTTCGGGCGGCTCTCGTTGCAAGGCCGCGTCGTGGATTATCTACGCCTCGCCTGCAGCTGGCGTAGCCGTAGCGGAAAACACTCGGACCGAGGTATCGTCAATGCGCTGCCTGCTCAGCTAAATCAGTGTAGTTCGTTGCCTCGTCGTGTTCGGTTGTCCACTAGCACCCAGCACCGACTGTGTCTCACATTCTGGCCAACAGTTTGCCACGACTCAAAAGAACGTAAACCGTGTGACAACAACTTGAAGCGTGCAGCAAAGCGAGCCACTGGATTATCGCGCACGATTTTCAAAAACCACACACAACTAAAATACAAAATTGAAACACACACACACACATCAACAGCAAAACTAAACAGCATTTTTTATTTCGAAAATAAAATACGAAAATATACAAAAGTTATGAATTGGCTAAATAAAATACATTTTATTAGCTGCATGTGAAATTTTAAGTTCAGTTCAAGTGAAACTCAACAGAAAATTGGTCAACACAATTTCAACAAAAACAAAAAACAAGAAATAAGTTTTATTTTGTTTTTATATAATTTACAAATATTCAAACGTAAAACAAAACAACTGCAGACTTTAACAAAAATTGTTGCTGTGCGCCATAAAAATTCTAAAAGGTAAGTTGAGTGCAAGAGAAAAATTTTGATAAAGTGCTAGAAAAATGTAAAATGTTAAAAAAAAAAAATTAGATAAAAATTCTAAAATACTAAAAAAGTTATTGTAAAATTTCTATTAAAATATAAATATTAGTATATATTGAGAAAGTTATACAAATATTTATATAAAGAATTATATTTGACAAAAATAAAAAATGTTTACCTAGTGAAATATGCAACAAATATTTGAAATACTTAAAAATATAAATAATATGTTTATTTGGCTTACATAAAATTATTGTCATAGAAAAAAAATATTTTACAAAAAATCCATTTATTAAAGAAACAAAATATGGAAAAGTATATTAATTATTAAAACACGATCAACGTAATAACAATTAATTTTTCTTGTCAACTTTTAAATATGTATCATAAAAACAGAGAAACGTTTTATTTAAAAGTTTCCACAACTCACTTAAGCTGAATATGAATGAGCGACAAATTTCTTACTGAAAAAATTCAAATTGAGCTAAATATAAAACGAAATCTATATATAAAAGACAACATAATTTATGTTTCTCCAGCCATGTGATATCTATGGAAAACCCATAAAAATAGCTCCATTGCAAGAAAACTCAGCTAACCGACTTTTCTTTTCCTTTGCAATTTCTTTTCTCTCTCGCAGCATTATGGACAACTAAAAGAAAATATCACACACACATACACACACATCGAAGGCGAAATTAACCGCAAAAAACAAATCGACGCCGGAAGGCGTTAACCACAATAACAACAACAACAATAACAGCAGCAAAAGCAATAAAAGCAACAGAAACAAAATGCAGCAACTACAAAAGTTGATCTGCATCTGCAGCTGCATCTTGGTCAGCATCTGTGTGAGCCAAACGATGGCATTGGCCAATTGCCCGCCCGGCTGCCAGTGCGACGACAACACCCTGGTGGTGCAGTGCGGCGAGGGCCAGCTGGATGTGCTGCCCATTGCACTGAATCCCTCGATTCAGCGCTTGGTGATCAAGAGCAACAAGATCAAGACCATCGACTCGTCCATTCAGTTCTATGCGGAGCTGACGTTCCTGGATCTGTCGCAGAACCATCTGATGACCATACCACAGCGCACGTTCGCCTACCAGAAGAAGCTGCAGGAGGTGCATCTCAATCACAACAAGATCGGCCAGATCAGCAACAAGACCTTCATTGGCCTGTCCGCCGTGACTGTGCTCAATTTGCGCGGCAATCTGATCTCGGAGCTGCACCAGGGCACCTTCTCGCCGCTGCTGAAAATCGAGGAGCTGAATCTGGGCGAGAATCGCATTGGCTTCATCGACCCGAAGGCATTCGATGGCCTGAAGCAGCTGCGCATTTTATATTTGGATGACAATGCGCTGACCACTGTGCCAGATCCCGTGCTGTTCCAGGCCATGCCAAGCCTGGCGGAGCTCTTCCTCGGCATGAACTCGCTGCTGACCATCCAGTCGGGCGCTTTCAAGGACCTGAAGGGCCTCACCCGCCTGGAGCTGAAGGGCGCCAGCCTGCAGAACATCTCGCACGACAGCTTCCTGGGTCTGGAAGAGCTGCGCGTCCTGGATCTCTCCGACAATCGTCTGCCGCGCATTCCCTCGGTGGGCCTCAGCCACTTGGTGCGCCTGGAGCAGCTGTCGCTGGGCCAAAACGACTTCGAGCTGATCAGCGAGGGCGCCTTCGTGGGCCTGAAGCAGCTGAAGCGCTTGGACATCAACGGAGCCCTCAAGCTGAAGCGCGTGATGACGGGCGCCTTTGCGGCCAACGGAAACCTGGAGTATCTGAACCTGTCGTCCAACAAAATGCTCGTCGAGGTGCAAGAGGGCGCTCTCAGCGGCCTGCCCCATCTGCGTCATGTTGTGCTGAAGGCCAATGCCTTGACCTCGCTGGCCGAGGGTCTATTCCCGTGGAAGGATCTGACCACCCTGGATCTGTCTGAGAATCCCCTGTCCTGCGACTGCCGCGTCATGTGGCTGCGCAACTTGCTGGTGGCCAAGAATGCCAGCCAGGAGGACCAGATGACTGAGCTGCTCTGCGAGTTCCCCGAGCGCCTGCGCGGCGAGGCCCTGAAGCACCTGAACCCCACGCTCATGGGCTGCTCGCACTCGGATCCGCGCAAGCAGGCGCTCATCGGCGCCCTGCTGGTGGGCTCCGCTGCCACGATCACGGCCCTGGCGCTGGTTCTGTACCGCTGCCGGCACAAGATTCGCGAGTACCTCAAGGGCGGCGTCTGGGGCAACTCGGCGCTGGGCCGCAAGGAGCGCGAGTACCAGAAGACTTTCTGCGACGAGGACTACATGTCGCGGCTGCAGCATCATCCCTGCTCCCTGGGCATCCACTCCACCTTCCCCAACACCTACACGGCACCGCACCAGGCCACCGCTGGACCCCATCATCACTACGGCATGTGCCCGATGCCCATCAACGATCTGAATGCCGTCGATGGCCAGCACAAGTTCCAGCAGCTGCAGGTGCCGATGTCGGCGACGCTGATGCACGAGAAGAAGCTGAACAACAACAAGAGCCTGGCGGGCACCGTCGACGACAGCGCCAGCTTCGTGCTGCACATGAAGACGGCTACGATGGGACGCGATCCGCAGCAGCAGCTGCAGCAGCAGCAGGCGCAGGCGCAACAGCAGCAATCGCACCCACAGCAGTCCAAGCTCAATCACTATACGAAGCCGCAGTTTCTGGCCGCCACGGCGGCCGTTGGCGACTCCTGCTACTCGTACGCGGATGTGCCCATGGTGCATGCCCCCCAAACGCTGCGCGTCACCCACGAGCACTTCAAGCAGCGCGAGCGCGAGCCACGCGACTTCGCCTGCGATGCGGATGCCAGCGGCGAAATGATGGATCCCAATTACATCTACAGCAATGCGCACTACTCGCTGCCCCTGGAGCAGATGGGCCGCAGCAAGACGCCCACGCCGCCGCCGCTGCCGCCAGCGCTGCCGCTGCGCAACGGACTGTGCGCCACCACCGGGCGTCGCTCCTTCCAGCACAAGTCCGCGCACAACAACAACAACAGCAGCAATGCGAGCACCATGCGCCAGTTCACGCACTGATCCTCGGAGCACTATCGTCGCAGGCAGCTGAGCATCAATGCTTAGTCGTCGTGTCGTGTCGTTGTCAACTGTGATGCCAAAACTCCACCCGCCCTACCTACCGCCTTTCCCGACAGCTCCCTTCTCCCACAACAACAACAACAAAAGCAACAAGCACTTAAGCGTAATCTGAAGAAATTTTAGTAGTAGAGCACATAAGATACTAACGGGCAGCGTTTACACGAGATCTACTGAAACTATTTATAGATATATATCATATAGTATATTATCTTAACAGTCTAACATTGACAAGGTTTTCCCTTCTATTTTTTGATAGAGTATTTCCTTAAAATACTCACGAGCCGACCACGTGTAAGCGCCGCTTGAGACATTAGTTAAACAAACTTAATTCAAGAAACTTGATCCAACTCTATTATTCTGTATATAAGCACGAAACAAAAAACTCAATGCGATCTCTATGCACTCTGACTACTTACTGTCTTTCTACTACTATTTTTCCATTACAGCAAAAGCAGAACAAAAGCAAATTGTATTTATTTAGCACGTAAGCAGCCTAGTTTGTAAACTAACTTAAACAAAATATTAGCATAAGCAAAACAATTGAAAAGAAATCAACAAAGCACTGAGAGTCACTTGTAAGTTTAATTTAAATTATTTAAAACGAAAATCGATTGTTAAAAACCAACAAGAAAAGCGTATTTATAAGCCATGACTATGTATTTATTAGTTAGTGAAACAATTTATGCAAATTTAAGCAAATATCGTCAAAAATATATGCAACAACTGAAAAACTACTTGAAAAAAAAAACTCACAATTCATTTCATTTCATTTCATTTATTTTCTCCAACGATGAGCTTGCAACTTTTGCTGGGCAGCAGGTGGAAGCGAAAAGGGGCAGAAAGAGGGTGGGAATATATAGATATACATATATATATATACACAATATATATATGTATATATTTTTTATGTAGTGCAACGCATTAAATTGAATATTATGCACGCACTCATAGGCATAGACTTCCACTCTTACTCACCTGCTCTCTCCCTCTCTCTCTCTCTGGCCCTCACTCTCTAGCCTAGGCATCTGGCTAGAGCTACTCTAGCGCCACGGTTGACGTCACAGAGCGCTCGTCGTCAAAGTTTTGTAGCTTGTTTCCTTTTGCATAATAGTGCATTAATTTTACTTTACTTCACTCAATTTTAATTAAATTGAAAGTTAAGAGCTGCAAAGTGCGTACAATTTTTTCTCTCGTTCCACAGTCGGCGAATGCGAGAAAATGTGACGCAAAATATTAATGCTGAGGCTGAAAGTAAAATCGAGTTTGGGCAACAAATGGAAAAAGGCCGTCAGAGTTTAAATTGTGAAATCCAAATTATGAATGCATATATGTGTGTGTATGTGGGCCAAAGGCTTGGCTCTGCTTCATATTCGTTTATATGTAGGTTTTAATTCTTTTACATTAATTTACACATATTTTTAGCTCAGTTCCTTTCCTTTCTTGCTGAACAACTTTAATATATTATTAGCTGCAGAAAAAAGTTTAAAATTTGGCAATCAAATATATAAATTTAGATTTAATTTTTTTAAATACTAAATTATAGATTAATATTTTCTAGTTAATATTTTGGTCCTTTCTATTATTAAATTTTTAAATTTTATATTTACTTTTTATTTTTATTTAATTTAAGAATATTAAAATTTTAATTTGAAATTAAATAAAATTAAATTTTTTAAACTTATATTTACTTTTTAATTAATTCATGAATATACAAATTATAATTTGATAAAGTATTTAAATTATTGGTTTGATTTTAAATTTATAATATATTAAATTTTTAATTAATATGTATATTATATTTTATTCACTTTTCAGTGATACTAAAATATTAAAAAATTTGTTTATTATTGAATGTATTTTATTTATTTATATCATAATATTGTTTACATTATATTTTTTAAATTTATATATTGTAAAATTAAATTTTAAATTTGTTTATTAACGTATATATTTTATTTATTCATATTATAATATTTTTTACATTATATTTATACAATTATATATATATTTATTTTATTTGTATTTATTTGGATTTAACAACGATTATCTGCTTTTTACACAGAATCTTAATTTCAAACAAAATACTGTACCTTTCTTAGATTTATACAAGGTTTTGTTGCATGTTACAAAACTCGTTCTACTTAAAGCCCATTTTGGCTACATTAAGCCAAAGTCACGGCAAATGCAACTGTGTTAAATGTGAACAAAAGAAAAGCCAGTCCAAGCCAAGCTAGAAAATCTGTTATTTTTTGTCTCTCCCCTTTGGTAATCTTCTGACAATTTCAGGCAAATCATGTGGCGGTTAATGCTCGATACAAATAACCGAAAAGCCCCAGCCTATTTATACAATTAAAAAGTGGAGATAGAGAAACCAGAACACAAGTAGAGGCATGTACTATAATAACAATAAATAAATAACAAAGGTAAATAGCGGCAGGCCAAAAGCCCCAAATGGCCAACAATAAAAGTGCTCGAGCTGCGGTGCTTAAAGTAGCATTCGGAGAGGCGACTGAGAGACGAGCGAACGGACTCGAGGCTTGAGTTTTGAATTGAATCGAGTTAAGTTGAGCTGAGTTGGGAATTCATCATCAAATTTCGATTAAAAGGCGCGTGGTGCGATTGTGTTGCCCCCGAGGGGCCAACGGCCAACAGCCAACAACAGTTGGCAGCCAAAAGAGCCAACAGCCAGAGCCAGAGTCAGAGCCAGCAGCCAGCGGGTCAGCGAGCAACTGTGTAGAGTCATTCGCACTATTCAAGCTTCATTAGGAGCTAAAGTAACGAAAACATTTTGATTTCGATCATTACAATTTCCTTTCATGTGAGACGAGTGCGGCAGAGTCGAGTGAACGAGCTACTGAGCAAGTTTCAGTTACTGTTCAATTTCTGTGTTTGCCCAGTGTTTGCATTAAAGGGTTACTGGATCAAGGCACAAAACCGGCCGCAGCACTTCGAATGGCCCTACGTCCACACGGACGTAATCATTAATTCCCCAATGCGCAGACAACAACGCCTGATGCTCAGATATGTAGCCGATCCATCTACAGATTGTTTGGGGCTTTGGCTTTTCGGGCCAGTTCTGAACCAGGCCAACAGCCAGGCGGGCAAACGAAAAGCCAGTCAGAATATGAGGCCCAAATAAAAGCTATGCTCTGGGCAGTAATTATGACGAGCCATGGTCCAAATATTGGAGCCATTGTAATACGCTCTGCATGAAGCACGGCTCGGCTGTGGCTGTGGCTGCTGCTGCTGCTGATTGTATGATGACCATGTTGAAAATGCTCATTAAAGGTACTTCAGAAATTATAGCATTTCACAATTGCGTTTACCGGGCAGGTTAGCGCGCCTCCATTCTCCAGCGGGGCTCGTTCGATTTGACGCGCTATTTATCAGCTGTTGTTATCTATTGGCCGCTCAGAAGTTACATAAAAGCTTTTCGGGGCAATTAAGTTGAACGTGCCGTGATGTGGGCCAAGTTTCATATAGTTTTTGGATTTCGGATTTTGGATTTTGAATTTTCTTTGAAACCGTCTTTGGGGGCGTCTTGACACGGGTGCTGAAAGTATTTAAAGTCTATTTTCATTTGAAAGCTACAGTTGAGTTGAGTACACCTAAGCTGTGAGTGAAAGAATGTAAGTGAGAGTTGTGTGAGAGCAGGCAATGCATTGTAGTTAGTATGTATGGGAGAGTTCTGGATGCACATTACATACATACATGTACAGATTTTTATTCGCTTTAATTCAGATTCAACTACATACTATTCTGTCAACTTATTACATGATACAGCATTATAAGAAATATAATAATTAATAGTTATTATAATGTGTTCTGTTTTTTTTTTTTTTTTTTTTTTTTTTTTTTTTTTTTTTTTTTTTTT